GATGGTGTTAATGTGAAAGATGTACCAGCTGGACATTGTGTAGTGACTTCGGTTTCTGGTCTTAGTACTCCCCCATCTTCAGACTTGACAACTGATGTTTCATTTTCTATTAGTGATGTTCTATCGAATGATTGATCTTCCGAAGGTGATCTTTCTGCAATTTGAGTTGTTTTCTGTTGTGATGCTTGTGATGCTTGATCATCCTTTTGTGGAACCTTCTTTTTATTCGGATTAGGTGGTGCTGGAACTTTGAAAACATGATCCTCTAATATTTTTTCCATTCGTTCTTTATTTTCAAACTCATCAAAATGTAATTTTTCGGCTTCAAGTCTTTGCTGTTGTGATTGAGATTGTGATAGAGAGATTTGAGAATTGCTTTGAGAAAAACTTGCAATCCAAGGATGAGATAAAGCGGCAGAAGCGGTCAATCTGAACCTAGGATCAACTTGTAATAAAGAATCTAGAAAGCTTCTAGCCTCTTTGGAAACACCAGCTTCCTTCAAAGGTGGTTCATGGTATGAACCTTGTTGGATTTGTTTGTAAAGTTGATCTTGGGTACTTCCACTGAATGGTAAATGTGCAGTTAAAATAACATAAACAAGACATCCCAATGACCACATATCAACCAATGATGAGTATTTGTTGCTATCGGTGATTTTAGACAATCTTCCATCAATAACTTCTGGTGCAACGTATGCTAGAGTACCACAAAATGTTTTCATAAAAGTACCAGTATCCGATATTTTAGCCAACCCAAAATCTGTAATCTTCACCAAGACTGGATCATCTTGTGCAATCAAAATGTTGTCTGGTTTCAGATCTCTATGGGAAATTTCCAAAGAGTGGACATATTGAATAGCTTGTAAGATTTGCTTACAAATTTCTTTAGCAGCTTCCTCACCAACAGCACCATGTGCTGCGACAAAATCCATTAAGTCACCACCAGGAACAAATTCCATAACAAGATAATAACTATCGTCATCTTCATAAAATCCTCGTAGTCTCACAATACCTGGATGATCTAATCTTCTCAAAATTTCTAACTCCCTACTGACACCATCTGTATTTCCCATAATCTTTCTTTTCGATATTATTTTGACAGCATACGTTTTCCCAGTTGATCTTTCCACTGCTTTCTTAACAATTGCAAATGCACCTTGCCCTATAACTTCGTCTTTGATCGAGAATTCCTTATTAATACCTTCTTCAATTCTGGTGCTTGAAGTTGAAGACTTTTGAACTTTGGGGAAAAAAACAATAAACCTCACCACATCTTTAGGAACACCAATCCCTACCGATACTTCATCACCTTGACTCAATATATAATTTTGCCCCTTTACCAATCTTTGATTGTTGACCCAAGTACCATTGGTTGATAAATCTTGAATCAAAACATTGGAATCACCACTCCAGATTTTAAAATGCTTATTACTCAATCTTGTAGTATTATTGTAGGCGATATCACAAGCAACGTTTCTTCCAAAGAACCACTCTTTAACACCATTCTTCTTTTCTTTGAGATCAACATTTGAGAGTTGACCAGTGGTGCAAATCAACCTACAAATAGTTCCATCTTCAATATCTTCTTGAGTAAGGTGTTCCAAGGCGGCTTGGGTGGCCTGTGTAGGTTGAGTTGGTTGTGTCGGCACCTCCATCTCTTGCAAATAGTGTGATCCGACTATATTATCACCTCTTTATTGAACAATGATCGATCTATAACTTTTCAGTGTTTTTCTAGTACACGAAATTCAAATTCGGATGACAAAACGCGTCAGGCTAAAAAAAAAAGCTGAGTAAATGATTATCTAATCATAACGCCTATTGAGCGGGTAAATTAGCCTAAAAAGGGCCTTAATGTTAAGACCTTTATCAAGCTTGAAAGGTAATATAACCATTATTTTGATGTTATTGCTTTTAGCTTGATTTCTTTCAATACATGCTTTAGATTTTGCTTGTGTCGTACTGAAAAGTGAAGCTTTTTGATCGAAAAATAAGGTTACGGATATAATCGGTGTATATCTACAAGCTTTATCAGACTCAGTATTTTGTACACTTAAATGTCTGAAGCCTTTGCGACTTCTTCTTGTATATACTTCAGAACCCTTGGATAGTGTCTTTCACCAACTTTAGGATGTGATTTGACCCTGTTCAAGAAGACACTATACCCAACCGGTTTTGTTTCATCAACTTGGAACTGAAATCCGATTTTATTCTTTGTTCTTTTGGCGTCTCTCAGTTTAACAAGATCCTTTGCTTTTTGATCAACCTCAATTGAAGTTTTCTTAGATTCAATATTTATAGTTTGAAAGAATGATATGGATAATCTATCTCCTTCCCCAGGAGTTGGTGTTAAAACTCTATGTACTGTGGAAACACAAACACCTTGAGTAATAAATTCTAAAGTCAACCCAACAGCAAACACTAAAGTATTTCCGACAGGTGGTACATTGATCCATTCTCCATTAAAATCTTTAACTTGTAAAGATGTATGGTGACTAGCTTGATAAATAAATGTAAGGAAATCATTATCACGATGTTCACCAACCCCTTGATTCAATTTAGTTTTGTATTGGGTGTTTGCAAATTCTTTTTCAACAGCTTCAACTTGGTCATTGAGATTAGCTAAATCAGGATACTTAATTATTTTCAATTTCGCTTGTTGAACTTCTTTAAAAAAGGCTTCCAAGGCACCATATTCTAATCCTAAAGCATCCTCAATCCAATGGGTGAATTGTCTTGACAATTTAGAAAGCTCATCTATGTAATCAGTGACTATAGGCTTAAACTCAGGCAAAAAATCACCACTTGGCCAGAGATTTGGTCCTTCAATATTTTTGTAAAGCTCATCATCATTCTTGATATCAGGTTCCGGCAGCTCTGTAGCAAATTCCACTTGTTCTCTCCAGTCAACATTAGCTGCTGTTATTTCATCACCAAGTCCATTATAACCTAAGAAATGTTTTGAATTGACCATGGCAACTTTTTTCTTCTCTTCAAGTGGGATTTCGAAAAACTTGAGTGATTCTTCCTTAATATTCTTGAATTTTTCAACATCAAAAGGTGGATTTTTAATATAAAAGAACCCAAAATTGAATAAAGCGTTTCTAAGCTCATCTAAAAATTCTGCTTTTGTTTCTGGGTTTGTAGCTTTGTTTAAATCTAGAGTTGGAATACTTGATGGTGATTCCCCAGAGGAAACCTTCAACTCGGAAAACTTGTCAGTGACGTCTGAAGTGGTCATGTTGATTGATCTTTGGTAGTTGAATTTAAATCTAAAAACAATGGGTGCTTTCTACTCCAATTTATAGGTCTTGTTAGTGGTTCGATACAAGTTTGTCAGAATACAATAGGTGGACTCATTGTGTCATCACTGTGGCGTACTCGATCAAGAGTTCGCGAAGTCTTCGGCTCGGCTGACATTGAGAATGAACTTCACAAATGCGTTCGAAAGATAGTAGAAATTAGTTGATATGTATTCTCGTTTTCTTTTGGCCAAGTCATCTGCATTTACTATCTCATGATATATCTGGATCACATTTTATGGTTGGAGAATGGAAAATCAATAGCCGGCTTAGAGCACTACAGTTTGGTTTGTTTTTGAAAGCTATATTGATGTATCTACTCTAGTCTCTGGCCTGTACTAAGTTAAACCAGTGCATCAATCTTTCACTTTGATTGAAGCTGATACTGATAAGATAATTATTGCTGTCGTTAAAGCTGTATTATTGTTATTGTGTATTGCCTAGGTGATTTTGCTGAGTCTTTGCTAAATCTTTACTGTGACAGGTTACACAAAGCCATGTTGAATTTTGGAACAAATTAAAACAACTCACTCGTTTCCACCCAACTGAGGTGTTCGATTTGGGCCAAATTTAACTATAAAACATTGCTTGCCTTGAAATGCTATACTTGGGAGTTCTTAGATTCTGTTGTTGGAAGTGTCGTTCTGGTCATAGACAATTACAATGCACCCATTATGATAGAGCTGAAAAAAGTCTTGTTTTTAATGTGGGACAACAAGGTAGACCTGCTCTAGATGAAGAAAGAAGAGTTTTCAAATTGGTTGCAGCTGATTTTGATGCAGAGGCTAATCCCAAATGCTCAGAGTCAAAATTGTACAAGTTTCAATGTAGAAAAAGTCCTAGATTTAGATGTTGCAATGGAGATTCATTATCAATTGATATTTATTTAGATCCCAAAAAATCCAAAGTTGTTGAAATTCATCCTCCTATGGAGATTCATTCAGGTTCCAATGGTATAAGTGTTGATGCATTTCAATTGCCTCGAAGAAATGGAAAAGCCAAATTCATTAACCCAGATTCGAGTAAAATTAAAGATTATAAGAGTACCCAAAGTGTTGACACAGACATAATTGCTGAAAAGAAAACTCATCCATTGAATGTGAAGCTTTTACCACCTCCACTCAGTACAAAACCACCAAGTACATCACCAGTGAATGCTACAAGAGGACGCTTAAATCCTAAAACACAATCAGCAACGAAAAGAACCATTGAAAGAGAAGATACACCAATACCAAGTAGCAGTTTGAGTTTATCACCATCACCATCATCTCAAAAAAGACCACGTACCAGCTCAAAGCAAACTCAAACAGATCCAGTTAAAGAGCTATCATCACCTAATTTACCTTCCCAAAACACTCGTTCTCACGCCTTTGAAAACATTTCGAATCATGTGCCATCAACTCCCATGGAGCCTTTGAGAACAAGAATCACAAGAAGACGGTCCAAAAGTCAACCATGAATAATCTGAAATAAGCATGTATCAATTGTGCAAATAGCAATATATGGATCCTTTATAGCATTTCAAAAAAATTGATTATTTGTAGATGAATGCTATGATTTGACGTACAACCTTTTGAATCTTCCTATTTCTGACTCCACTCCTTTTAACAGGATTTCAAAAACTTTGATCTCACCATGAATTGACCCCAAAGTGATGGTAGATCCATTTTTATCAAATTTGAACTTATTCAAAGTCATTCCCGTTGTAATTTTCAAAATAGGAATAACTGAATCAATACTTAAATCCAATAATTCAAATACATGGCCATGGATGAACCCAATCTGTGTACCATGTGATGGTCTCCAACTGGCTTGCAAAATAGCATTGTTTCGATAGATATCCAGCAGGGGAGCATCAGGGGAATTCAAATCCCATAATGAAACTGTCCAGTCAAATGAACTTGATATGAATAGATTTGGAAATTCAATGGAATTATCAAGTGATGAGATAGGGCCTTTATGTTTTTGATAAATTTTATCAAAAAGATTATCTGGATTCCCACTTATTTTATTGTCAAATCTCTTAACTCTATAGATATTACCATCTTCACAGCCAATTATAACAAAACCATGATCATTTGGTAAGTTCATTACTGAAGTTGGTGCCAATTCATCAAATCTTAGACTTAGAGATTTAGGTGTCTTCAATTCTATTGGGGGTGATATTGGTTTTGATAACATTGATGTACTCCATGTACAGATTTTTCCATCAGTAGATGCAGTGATTAAAGTTCCATTATTTTCACTGATTTGGTTTAATGCAAAGACAGGATATGAATGGTTCATTGTACTGGCCGATGAAACCAAATACGGTATATTTGATTCTGATTCCAAGTTCCAACTGAAAACTTTACCATTATAGCCAGTTGCAAAGATGATGTTTGATTGAAATTTTGAAAATTGGACATTAAGAATATTTGTGGATGTTGTTATTTGGTGTTCTAATTTTTTGAATATTGAATTATAAATGAGGATTTTTTTACCAATGGAAATCAATAAAAGCTCTGGAAAGAAAAGGGAAGTATCAATTGAATAGATTGCATTCTCAAGTTTCAATGATATCAGCTCTGAGAAATCTGTAGATTCAATTTCAGTATCCTTTTTAACATTTGTATAAGTCTTTAGTATATCTTCATCTTCTTTGATGACTCTATTTATGATTTTGAGAGACTTGTTGAAGAAACCAGCTAGCAATGTATCATCCATTTGGGCAATTGGATCAACAGGTTCTTCTGTGACTTCTTGTTGGGCTACTCCATCATCCTTGTTGAGTTCGGATTCAGCTGTTGTAACCTCAGACGTAAGTTCCTCTTCCTCTTGATTATCCTCGTCGTCCACCAGTTCTTCGGCAGTTTGTGTACTCTTGTTATAAGTGATTTTTTCAACTTTCTCTTTAACAACATCTTGACTTGTTTGGATCGATATTGACTTGTACACAGCTGATATCTTTTGAGGTTTTGGAGGCACACTTATTTCAGAACTTCTTGAAGACGGTATGGGGGTCTTCTCACCAACTAAGTCATCAACCAACTTGTCTATGTTAGATTTAGCACCACTTGCTTGACCATTCAACTAAATTTTAGAGTTAGTCTCTGCTGTTTTGAGAGAGTGATCCATGGCTACTCACCTGCCCACCGCCCAATTGCTGTTGTGTAGCTCGCTCTTTCTCCTCTCTCTGCCTCCGTAGCGCCTCAAGCCGCTGTCTCTTCGCCTGTATCTCTTCTCTTCTGCTTGACATGGTTCTTGTCTTTTGGCCCAACAGATTGTATTCGATCTCTCACAATTTTTTTGTTTATGTTTCTTTCAAAAGTGATTTTGAGCAGTGCACGATTTTTGACAGAATATCCTCTACTGTGTGTATATAAGGTAATTCCGATGTTCTATTAATATACATATAATGTTACAATTAGTGGATTCTTGATTCTTCTTATAGTTGATGTGAAATGTTGAGTATTGATGAATTGTGCATAATTGGTTATTCTGGTTATGTAATACCTGACATTCCCCCCCTCATTTCTGAGTATTTATTGAATGTAATAATATTAAATATGATGAAACTTGATTTGGAACTATATTGTGTTGTCTTTTGTTAACCGGTGTTCAATTGGTTGTGATTGAATATGAAAGAATGAGTGAAGTACCTATAGATTTAAAAAGAAATGATTCTTGAATGGTGTGGAGGTTAATGTCTTTTGAATTTCAGGACCTGAGTATTTCTTGGTGAGAAAATCTGAGCAGTTTGAGATACCTG